AGTGCAGTCACACCCATTTATTTTTTTCTCACAAAGAAATAAGTCAATTTTATAAATATCGAATGGTGTAGATTATTATTGGATTTTCTCCCGTCAAAACTTCATGGGAGAGAATCTCATTCCACTAAACCATTATTTGAGTTCGATGAAAATCATATTCGATAAGATCAGATAGAATAGAGTGGTATATGATATGATATAATAGAACAAAATTTCTTTATTTAGATTTGTTAAACTCGGATAAAACATAATAGTGTAATATCTACTTTTATTTTGTTTCATTAATTTTTTTTTCTGATTTGAATGAAATGAGAATTTTATCAAACTCTATCATAAATTATTCAAACAATAAAACGAGATCTTCACTCCATTACACTGATTATAAGATATTTAAACATAGTCTAACAAAATTGACACAAAATTTTAATGCTAATTTATTTTTGGACAAATTGTTTTTATTGGCCACATGCTTACTCAATAAGCAATGTTGTGCATATTTTTTTATTTTTTGTCAAGTAGTCTAATTACTTGGAACTCACTATTTAAAGGTGAATAGGTTTAAAGGTGAATAGGTGGGATATTGCAGGTTTGAACTCGTGATCTTACCTCAGATGTTTTTGTATAACTACTGACTGAGTTGACTTAACGAGTAACCGTACATATTTGAACATGTGGAACATAAGCAAACCCGGACAAGGTGACATATGAAATTATTATTGGAGCAACTAAATAGCCCTCATCAATCATACTCCATAATATTCAAACAAGCCATAGGATTTTACATCCAACACATAGAATACCAGAAAACATAAACCAGAAAAGATGTATTCACCGTCTTTACACATTTCCATTTATAATCAAACTTCACAGTCTTAGCATTGGAAATGGTTTAATAATGACAACATTCACTGATTTAGTACATGCTTAGCTAAATACATGGTTTCACAGTGTGATCTTTTATCCAAGAATCTTTTATTAAATTTATCAAGAATCTTTTGATCACCATCTAGAACTCTTTGTTTTCCTTAAAAGACCAATCAATAGAATTTGCTTTTGTCATTAACTTATCAGCCTTCTGCTTTTTACTGAATGGAAGCAGTTCACTTCTCGCTAGTCACTACAGTCCCTTGAATTGGCGCTTAGGTCATTGAAATAAATGCAACCTGCATAAGACAAACACAAATAGGTAATTATAAGTTAAGCTACCTACATAAGCAATCAAGCTAAAAGATTAGTTTCTAAGTGTGTTTGGAAACAAAGTCATCCACTGCCACCTCACATTAAAAGCTTCCCAACGTGATTTTTCTAAAGCTACATTTGTTAGCTTTTACAAACTGTGAGGTGGTGTCATGATTTTTGAGAATTCCAAACATAGACTAAAACCAAGCAAGCAATTTCAACTACCCACTATAAGACATCATTTTAGAAAAAGGTTGTCTATGGAATTGATGTTTTCAGTTTCCTTAAGGAAACCATTGTCTGGAATACATCGGTGTTATTCACGAATACAACTAAAATCTAAAACATTTCCAACTGTGGTTAATGACTACTTCAAGAATATTGAAATGTCTTTATAGTTTAATTCCTTTATTCATGCCTAATTCAGCGGAGTTGCAAGTTGCAACGACAAAGCGGCGACATCATGGGGGAACAACGTCAATGAGGCTGGAGAAGTGTAACGGTGTAAGGCTGTTGAGGAGAAGGCAAGGGTTGGGTCATTTACCCAGATACCAATTCATCTAATTTGAACATTCAACTCTAAAATCATCCATACCCATAAACTACGGTTTCATTTTTCTTGGTTTTTTCACAAATGCTCTACTAGATGGATATTTACAGATACCCAAACATCTCTTGAAAATATACAATACAGCTTGTTGGAATTTCCGCCTTCGTTGCAATCTGCCCCTAGTCGTCAAAATTGTGGCATTTGGTTTGGCTTCATTGCAGCCTCCAACACCTTCATTGTATTGAGTTTGAAGGGGTGGATTTAGTCCCACATTACTCAGAGATATGACATGTGTTGTGTTTATAAGTTGAAGCAATGCTCACCTTACACGCAGGTTTTGTGAGAATGAGTTAGGTCAAACTTTAATTCTATCACGGTATTAGAGCCTATCCTAGATATCTTGTTGAACTTCCCGCATCGTCCTTACAACTGGTTTTGTAAGCATAAACTCTAATTCTATCACAACATATTTAATTTAACTGTGAACAATAACTCCCAGAAACTGTTATTGCTTGAAAGTAGAGACAAAAAAACTTATGAATCTTAAAATGTATGAACAAGATGAATGAATCAAGTTTAGTTTATTGCTACACTTGTAATTAACTATTATATTTCTAACATTTCATATGAACTGTAGTGACTGCCAAATAAATCATCACCTAGAAAACATACCTAAGCCAATGGCATCAGAACTCTCAATGATTTTCGGCCGTCTTGCATGTATCAATGAACATCCTGCACATAGAAAAGATGGATTGCAATTTAATGAAGGACATGCGTACCAGATGAAAGAAAATCTCATTATGTCATACATTCAGTCTGTTTACTTGGTTCGAACAGAGACCAGAATTTGCATCAACACTAAATGCCTAAATAAACTAGGCCATAAATTAGACTTGAAATCTAGTTAAGCAACAAAATCATGGCCATGATCAAATTCTCTTATTCTGATACTACTGAACAGTATAGAATACATAAAAATTTTAACACTTTGATCGGAATTTGAATTTCTATAAAAAAAATGGAAATTGACTCCTTATAGAGCACGAAAATAACACTTTTAATCACTTTAAGATGGGAAGAAAAAAAAGGACACGAATAGATTAAAACAAAAAAAATTAGAACTGAAGATTCTTAGAGGAACATGCACATGCACCCTCCCTGCAAAGGTCCCATATCCTAACTCAATCATAATACCCCTAATCTTCCTCCTCACATTTTTCTCATGTACACCAACTGAATTCCACGCACCCCATTCTTACTGATTTGCCATTGTCACATGGCCATTCTGTTATGAAGCAGACCATCATCTGAAATATTCACCATTCTGTCCTAACTCAAACTAATTAATCCATCCCAACATGATCCTTGCAGCAAACACCTCAGTACCAGATATATCATTACACTCAAGATAGAAAAATAACAACATTCAAAAAATTCAAATTTCAAAATACAATTTAATTAATTCACAATATTAAATATGTTGAATTTGCACGAAAGTTCTGAAGCTGGTTTGAAAAGAGAGTAAGAAACCTAAGTGTAGTGCATATTGAACTGTTTAATTTCTGAATAACTTCGCTTTCTAAATCGGCAAAACTTTCTTGATACTTTCCACGCAATTAGCCGGTTAATTACTTTGTATTTCCATCTGTCAAAAAAGCATAATTTGCATTTCCAATATGTTAGTTATGCACCCATTTGTTGCTCTTTCATGATTGTACCATTAACCCCTCTTCAAATTGCACGTGAAAGATGCCCGTAGCTGTAGCTTCATTAAAATTACAAGTGCAGGCATTTGCATTATTAAATCTTCCTATTCACTAACCCCTCCCTTCTCTCTTAATTAGATGAATAAAATATGTTACCTTTTATCATAATACTTTGAATAGAACCGAGTTAGATTGGTGCTTACCCTTGTCAATCAAATTTCAGGAATCAATAATAAAACAAGAATTCATGGACTTTCGGTAGTAATTGTAAAATAAAAATAGTATCAGTACCAATGATGTTTGGCATGAAAAAAAACTATCATTAATCACAAGGTACAGTTGTTCAAGAAAGAAACACAGGCAATTAATTTGTTAAAGTACAAATATATTTAGGATTAAGAAGTAAACTTGAGAGACTCAAACCAACAATATATATAGAAATGTATATGATAGAGTTGGTTTGAATTTGCAACTTGATTTAGGTAGAAAATAACTCAAACCAGAATTAGGATCGATCTTGAGAATTAAGAAGCAGACTATCATATATCTTGAAGCAGGACTCACTCTACATACATTACCATAATCCCTAGGCTCTGGACTCAACAATGCCTAAAGCTAGTGATCAATATAACCTACAACTATCTATTAATTTTGAAATTTACTGACTCCAGGCAAATGGAAATATATTCAGTGTTTAACTGATTAATTATGATTACTTACTTTGTTTAGACTATACGGTTGCTAAACCAAATATAGTTATTATTACTTGAAAAAGTATAATGAGAAGAAGAAAAAAAAGATGCAAAAAACACAGAATTTCAAAACAACTTACTCCCATGGTACATCCCTACAAGCATCCAGTCTCCAACTTTACATTCAAATGGAAGAAAATATTCTGAACCATGCAAAAGGTCCCTCAGCTTGCACCCATCAACATTTCACTTCCTAGAGCTCCACAGGAACCACACTGACCTGAAACTACACAATTACCAAAGATTTCAGAATAAAAATAATACATCATCCAAGATACTTTAATAAAAATCATTGGCAAAAACATTTTTTGTTTAAGTAAATCAAAAATGAAATGGCTCACCTAGGGTAAAACAGTTGAATATCTATTCAAGGTCAGAAGATAGTTCCTGATATGTTGTAAAAGTTCATTGATCTATCTTCCTAAAATAGGGAGGGAGAAAATGCACCTAAATACACTCAAATTTGTCATTTCTCAAATTTTGTACATTTTGTGTACACCTGTCTTAATTTTCATTCTTCATGAGAACTTAATTAGTCAACATTGCTAAGCAAATACAACAAAAAGGTATTTATCCAGTAAGACCAAGCAAAAATCATCAAAAGATATAGCAGTTGGCCTAGTTTATCAGTAAATTACCAAACACCTTGTTGCATAATGATAACATTCTCCCTTTGAATGATGGTTACTGCAATCAAATAACCGGAGTGTCATTCTTTTGTAGAATCAGAGTGTCATTCTTTTGTAAGCTTAACATTGTTCCAATAATCAAGGCAAACCCCAAAAATTCAATACTGCAGCTGCCATGTAATCAACGCATCAATCGAGCCGTCCGGATTTTCGACTTAACTTTCCTAGCTTCATTGACAAAACCAGCAGTACATAGGCCATTAATAACAGCTCTTTGAGTAGCCTTTAAGATCTGAAAACCAGATTTCAAACAAGCAACCAAAAGCTTGGAAGCAAAAAGGAACTTCTTTGCCCTGCAAAGGTTGTGCACCAAGATAGTATAAGTGAAAGAATCTTTAGCCTCCATACTATCAAAAACCTTCACTGCTTGATCAATATGACCAGCTTTACCCAAACAATCAAGCATGCAGTTAAATGCCACCAAATTAAAACCAAAACCCAATGACTTCATGTAATCCAAATGCTTCTCCGCACCCGCGAAATTGCCAATCTTACACAATCCATGGATTATAATCGTGTGCGTATACTGATCACATTTCAATCCTTGTTTCTCTATTTCATCCACCAACTTCAACGCCTCCTCGAACTTCCCTTGCCTACAGAAAAGGTTTATCATCGTATTATAAGAAGCAAGATCCAGCACCAAACCATTACTCGTCATCTTCTCAGCAATCTCATCCGCTTCTTCAATCCTTCCGGTCTTCACCAACGCAGCAACCACAGTACAATAAGCAAACCCGTCAAAAGTATAACCTTTCCTCCTCATCTCCGAAAAAATCTCCAACCCTTGCTCCAACCTCCCGCACCGAAAACAACACTTCATAACCGTGGTATAAGTAATCGCATTCGGTTCATAACCATAATCGCAAAACTCACTTAACACCCTCCTCGCATCCGCCAACCTCCTAGCCTTACATAACCCATTAATCATCGCATTATAAGTCAACACATGAGGAACAAACCCGTGACGCTGCAAGTTCCTAAACAACATAAGAGCAGTATGAACATACCCGTATTTGCACAACCCGTTAATCATAACATTATATGTTGCCATCGTAGGATACATTTCAGCACGCTCGACTATATCCTTGAAAACACGATACCCTTCCTCCGGTCTACCAAGCCTAAACAAACAATGCATTAAAATATTATAACTCCACACATCCGGGGGTATTCCTGACTGAAGCATTTCGTCGAACAGTTGGAGGGATTTCGATAACAAACATTTTCTAACAGCACCTGATATCAATGAATTATAGGAAACAACATCAGGGTTAATTCCTGCTTCTTTCATTCTATTGAGAATAGTGTAACCTGCATCGATGCTGACGAAACGACAATACGCATCGATTAATGTGTTGTATGTAATAGTATCAGGGAGTACACCTAGTTTAATGGCGTCTATTAAAACGACTTCGGCTTTTACTAGTTGCTTCGATTTGCACATTGAGGATATGCAAATGTTCATGAATTTTGTTGATAATCGAGTAACCATGATTTGTACTGAAGAAAGAAGAGTTGAGAAGAAAAGGTGAGTAACACGAGATTGAAAATTGAGTAGATTATTATGATGACAGATTGAGGCATTTGGGTTTTACTGAAACGAGTTGTTGAAGGTTGAAGAGAACGGTTAGTGTGTAGCGGAGAGTGGAATTGAATAGGGTCGGGGTTGTTGTCAAACCGGAAATTGTGAGGAAATGTGTTAACACCCCAATATCACTTAATGCCCCCAACAACAATGCTGGAAATACCGGGCTACAGAATATCAGCCCAAGAAGAGAACCTCTGATCGTATGAAGAGCATGATCAAATACCTTAACAACTATGATTGAAGAAATAGGACAGCTGTAATTCAAATATCAGTATCCTAGGATTCTAGAAGGTTACCAGCTCATCAAATATAGTTGTTATTAAAATTTTGTTAGGATATTTTGTTAGAATCCAGTAGCAATCCCTATATTCTAGGAGAGCCATCGGATTGAGTGATGAATTGTAATCCTAATTGTATGGAACTGCTATATAAAGGCTAGCAGAATGAGTAATAAAATAAGGAATATTTCCATTTCTATTAACCTGTTAAGGAGGCCTCCTTGTCCTATGACTCAAGGAATATCTAACACCTAACAATATGGTGCTTTCATCGATCCTCCCTCATTTTTTCCATGGCAACCAAACCTACAAATGCAGAACGACTTGATGATTTATCAGAAAAAGTCGACCTTATCATCACCCAATTAGCCACCCTCACCACTAACCCACCCACACCACCACCACCTCCCACACCACCACCACACCCACGACCTCACATAAAACTCGAAGTTCCACGCTTTAATGGCACAGATGTTATGGGCTGGATCTTTAAAATCAACCAATTTTTTTATTATCACAGAACACCAGACGAAGAACGACTCACTGTCGCCTCTTTCTACATGGAAGGTCCAGCATTAAGCTGGTACCAATATATGTTTCGCAACGGTCTCATCACTACATGGTTCGAACTGTTACAAGCCCTTGAAACAAGATTTGCTCCGAGCTACTACGATGATCCCAGCCAATCATTTTTCAAACTAACACAACGCGGCTCCCTCAACCAATATCTCACTGATTTTGAACGACTTGCTAATCGTATCGTTGGCTTACCACCTCCTTTCGTTCTCAGCTGCTTTATCTCAAGCCTCTCACCAGAGATACGCCGTGAGGTTCAAGCTCTGCAACCCCACAACCTCTCACAAGCCACTGCTTTAGCTAAAATCCAAGAAGATAAACTCGACGAACGTCGTCGCGGTTTTAAGAAACCCACCTATTCCCTCACTTAAACTTCCAACACCAACCCCACAAGTTCTCCCCAAACAAACCCCGCCACCCCTCGAATTCAGTTTCGCAAATTAACACCAGAAGAAATGACCTCTAGAAGAGAAAAAGGCCTTTGTTACAACTGTGACGAAACCTTCATCCCCGGCCACAAATGCAAAGGTCGTTTTTTCTTGTTTGTATCAGACGAACCAGAAAGCGAACAAACACATCCTACACAAACACTTGAACCACCCCCCGTTTCTAACCACGAACTCGATTACACAGACCAATTAGATGGACAAATCAGCCTACACGCCCTCTCCGGCTCCGCCGCCACCGCCACTATACGTATCATCGGCAAAATTGCTAATCACCATGTCACCGTACTCATCGACGGTGGTAGTACACACAACTTTATTCAGAGTCGCATGGCAAAATTCCTGAACCTTCCTTCCACTCCTGTTAACACTCTTAAAGTAATGGTTGGTAACGGACACCTGCTCGAATGTCAGAGCCTCTGCGACAACGTGGCACTTACCCTTCAATCCCACCCGTTCACCGTGGATTTCTACGTTCTCCCTCTAAGCGGTGTAGACATTATTCTTGGAGCTCCATGGCTTAAGTCATTGGGCCCAGATATTATGGACCACATCACACTTTACTTCACATATAACAACACCCCCATCTTACTACAAGCCGATGCAACCAAAAGCCCAACACCAATTTCGGCCCAACAATTAAAACGTTGTGTCCAAACTAATTCAGCCTCAGAATTGTTTCATATCCAAATGTTTCATCCCACGGACCTATCCACACCACATACTATACCCGACCCACATCCAATCCCTCCCATCAACAACCTTCTTCTACAAAATTCCCAAATTTTCAACCCTAATCCTGGCTTACCTCCGTCACGTACCTCTGACCATCACATCCACCTCCAACCTTTGTCTTCCCCTGTCTCCGTCAAACCATATCGCTACCCCTTCTCTCAAAAAAATGAAATTGAACACCAAGTCAAAGAAATGCTTCAACAAGAACTTATACGCCCTAGCCAGAGCCCTTTCTCCTCACCGGTGTTGCTCGTAAAAAAGAAGGATGGATCCTGGCGATTCTGCGTCGATTACAGAGCACTCAATTCTATCACCATCAGAGACCGTTTTCCAATGCCCGCCATCGACGAACTGCTAAACGAATTGGGTGGTGCTTCCTGGTTCTCCAAACTAGATTTGAGACAAGGATTCCATCAAATTTGAATGTCTGAGGAATACATAGCTAAACCCACTTTCCGAACCCACCAAGGCCATTATGAATATCGCGTTATGCCCTTTGGGCTCTGTAACGCACCATCCACTTTCCAAGCAGCCATGAACGAACTCCTACAACCATTCCTACGCCAATTTGTCGCAGTCTTTTTTGACGACATCCTTGTCTACAACCTCTCCCTCGAACTGAAGGAAAATTGCGATCTAAACGCAGCGGAAAACAAAAATTTCCTTTAGTGATCCTTACGAATGAGCATGGTCAGTGATAGAATCGTTACCTCTTTGTGGCGATTCAGATCTTTGATGCAGCGATCACAAGCGTTGATGAAGTGCAACGCCTCTACTCAGTCCACACGAACAGCTTCCGGTCACAGTGCTAGCTGCTTACGAACGGAATTATTTGAGTGAGAAAAGAGAATCAAAAACGAAATTGCATCAAGTGAAAGCTTCATCACAAGGGTTCCTTTTATAGACTCTCTTGTGGGTTGCGGGCTAAAAACCCAATTCACATGATCCATAATAATATTATATATTATTATAATAACTATTATTATAATAAATATATTTATTTTATTATTATTTTATAACCATTATAAAATAACAATAATTATTATTATATTATCCGAATTTCTATTTTTCACTTAAGTGCACCGTACCTTACGGTGTTCCTTTGATTTCTCTATCTCTCATCAAACTGTCCTTATGTGTGTGACCCTGTAGGATTTCGTAACGTTGGTAATTATATTAAATTATATATTTAACATAATAAACAGTAAGCGGTATCTAGCAACACATCACTGCTACCCAAGTCACGAAATTGTCATGTGATCTGACAAAACCTTTTTCGTGATAATATATGTTTGTACAATTACCCTTTTGCCCCTATGTCTATATTGAACACAAGGCATACACTGTGTCATCCTTGTCCAGTTCAATATTGGGCCCTTAGACATTTCTCCTGTTATGCAGGATTGGCAAATTCCATCTAGGACACTCATGTCCCTCAGCATGCTTCGTGGAGTGCCCATCAACTGTCTTTATGATCATCCAGTTACGGATAATGTTTGATCAGCAATAAAGCACCCGACTCTACATCTAGGGTCCATAGTGGTTTCAGGTCGAAGGGTGGTAATACACCATTATCACCATGAGAATAACTTATGACACTTTGCATAACATACTATGTAGTATTCTCATAGCGGGTCAATCCGGTATAAATATTACTCCTAATATTTATACCTATGTCAAGACTTGATAACTCTTTATCCATGATCCATGAGATGTGATCATCAGTCTATCTTCATAATAGTCTCAATGCTTTTAATGTTATCCCACTTTGCAATAAAGCTTGACTACGGATATTTTAAGAATAATGTCTTTATGTTTAATGGGATCTCATGATTAAGTCACACTTAACATTTCATTAAACAGACTAACTATTCTAGGGACTTTATTATTCTGAAAGACAAACATAATAAAGAAATGCCTTTTTATTATTAAACGAATAATCCCGATACAAGTACCAAAAAGTATTGGCCTCTAGGGCTTACACCAATTTCGGCCCAACAATTAAAACGTTGTGTCCAAACTAATTCAGCCTCAGAATTGTTTCATATCCAAATGTTTCATCCCACGGACCTATCCACACCACATACTATACCCGACCCACATCCAATCCCTCCCATCAACAACCTTCTTCTACAAAATTCCCAAATTTTCAACCCTAATCCTGGCTTACCTCCGTCACGTACCTCTGACCATCACATCCACCTCCAACCTTTGTCTTCCCCTGTCTCCGTCAAACCATATCGCTACCCCTTCTCTCAAAAAAATGAAATTGAACACCAAGTCAAAGAAATGCTTCAACAAGAACTTATACGCCCTAGCCAGAGCCCTTTCTCCTCACCGGTGTTGCTCGTAAAAAAGAAGGATGGATCCTGGCGATTCTGCGTCGATTACAGAGCACTCAATTCTATCACCATCAGAGACCGTTTTCCAATGCCCGCCATCGACGAACTGCTAAACGAATTGGGTGGTGCTTCCTGGTTCTCCAAACTAGATTTGAGACAAGGATTCCATCAAATTTGAATGTCTGAGGAATACATAGCTAAACCCACTTTCCGAACCCACCAAGGCCATTATGAATATCGCGTTATGCCCTTTGGGCTCTGTAATGCACCATCCACTTTCCAAGCAGCCATGAACGAACTCCTACAACCATTCCTACGCCAATTTGTCGCAGTCTTTTTTGACGACATCCTTGTCTACAACCTCTCCCTCGAACTTCACCTCAAACATTTGGAACAAGTTTTTCACAAACTACTCGATGGTAACTTCTACCTCAAACGTTCCAACTGCTCACTCGCCCAAAGACAACTTGTTTACCTCGGCCACATTATTTCCATTACTGGGGTTCAACCTGAACCATCTAAAATAC